ATCATTGCTTGCAGAGGCAATAAAGTCATTGCTGCTTCACAGTCATGCATTCGTTATTCATTCATCACACAAACAGGGAGATGACTACCAAGGTATCCCAGGAGGGGTGGTGGAGGAGGGAAGGAAAATGCCACACAGCACTTTAAGCACAGCACTTTAAAAGTTTACAACTTTAAAATTTATTGAATGACAGCCTTCTTTTTTTTTGGGCAATCCTCTGTGGTGGAGTGGCTGGTTGGCCGGAGGCCCCCCCACCGCGTTCTTGGGCGTCTGGGTGTGGAGACTATGGAACTTGGGGAGGAGGGCGGTTGGTTACAGAGGGGCAGAAGTGGCAGTCTGTGCTCCAGCTGCCTTTGCTGCAGCTCAACCATACACTGGAGCATAGTGGTTTGGTCCTGCAGCAGCCTCAGCATTGAATCCTGCCTCCTCTCATCACGCTGCCGCCACATTTGAGCTTCAGCCCTGTCTTCAGCCCGCCACTTACTCTCTTCAGCCCGCCACTTACTCTCTTCAGCCCTCCACCTCTCCTCCCGGTTATTTTGTGCTTTCCTGCACTCTGACATTATTTGCCTCCACACATTCGTCTGTGCTCTGTCAGTGTGGGAGGACAGCATGAGCTCGGAGAACATTTCATCGCGAGTGCGTTTTTTTTTCTTTCTAATCTTCACTAGCCTCTGGGAAGGAGAAGATCCTGTGATCATTGAAACACATGCAGCTGGTGGATAAAAAAAAAGGGACAGCGGTATTTAAAAAGACACATTTTATAAAACAGTGGCTACACTCTTTCAGGGTAAACCTTGCTGTTAACATTACATACATAGCACATGTGCTTTCGTTACAAGGTCGCATTTTGCCTCCTCCCACCGCGTGACTACCCCCTCAACCTTCTCCCCTCCCTGTGGCTAACAGCGGGGAACATTTCTGTTTAGCCACAGGCAAACAGCCCAGCAGGAATGGGCTCCTCTGAGTGTCCCCTGAAGAAAAGCACTCTATTTCAACCAGGTGACCATGAATTATATCTCACTCTCCTGAGGATAACACAGAGAGATAAAGAACGGATTTTGGTTGAATGCCAGCAAACATACACTGCAATGCTTTGTTCTACAGTGATTCCCGAGTACGTGTTACTGGCCTGGAGTGGTAAAGTGTCCTACCATGAAGGACGAAATAAGGCTGCCCTCCCCAGAAACCTTTTGCAAAGGCTTTAGGACTACATCTAGGAGAACCGCAAATGCCAGGGCAAAGTAATCCTTTCACATGCTTGCTTTTAAACCATGTATAGCATTTTAAAAGGTACACTCACCAGAGGTCCCTTCTCCGCCTGCTGGGTCCAGGAGGCAGCCTTGGGTGGGTTCAGGGGGTGCTGGCTCCAGGTCTAGGGTGAGAAACAGTTCCTGGCTGTCGGGAAAACCGGTTTCTCCGCTTGCTTGCTGTGAGCTATCTACAACTTCCTCCTCATCATCATCTTCTTCGTCCCCAAAACCTACTTCCGTATTGCCTCCATCTCCATTGAAGGAGTCAAACAACACGGCTGGGGTAGTGGTGGCTGAACCCCCTAAAATGGCATGCAGCTCATCATAGAAGCGGCATGTTTGGGGCTCTGACCCAGAGCGGCTGTTCGCCTCTCTGGTTTTCTGGTAGGCTTGCCTCAGCTCCTTCAGTTTCACGCGGCACTGCTTCGGGTCCCTGCTATGGCCTCTGTCCTTCATGCCCTGGGAGATTTTCAGAAAGGTTTTGGCATTTCGAAAACTGGAACGGAGTTCTGATAGCACGGATTCCTCTCCCCAAACAGCGATCAGATCCCGTACCTCCCGTTCGGTCCATGCTGGAGCTCTTTTGCGATTCTGGGACTCCATCATGGTCACCTCTGCTGATGAGCTCTGCATGGTCACCTGCAGCTTGCCATGCTGGCCAAACAGGAAATGAGATTCAAAAGTTCGCGGTTCTTTTCCTGTCTACCTGGCCAGTGCATCTGAGTTGAGAGTGCTGTCCAGAGCGGTCATAATGGAGCACTCTGGGATAGCTCCCGGAGGCCAATACCATCGAATTGTGTCCACAGTACCCCAAATTCGAGCCGGCAACGTCGATTTAAGCGCTAATCCACTTGTCAGGGGTGGAGTAAGGAAATCGATTTTAAGAGCCCTTTAAGTCGAAATAAAGGGCTTCATTGTGTGGACGGGTGCAGGTTTACATCGATTTAACGCTGCTAAATTCGACCTGAAGTCCTAGTGTAGACCACGGCCCAGAAACTGATAGAAGACTCTTTTAAATATTCAAAATGTGAGATGCAGAGTTTGAGGGAGGGCATGTCTGTACAATATCAGTCTCCTGGCTGGAGCAGGAAGGTAGCCCTGCTGCACTTGGATATGATAGTGAGGAGCTGCAGTGTCTGAGCATTGACAGTCTAGGGATGGGGAGCCCCCAGCCTTTAAGAACCCGGCCCCAGGAACCTGCCCTCTGCTCTGGGGCTGACATGCAGCGTCCTGGGAGGGGAACTAAAAACACCTCTGCGCCCCCCCCCCCCCAGATCTGCGGGCACAGCAGGTGGCTCATCCCACGGCATAACCATCACCCCCTCGCCCCCTCTGGAAACGGGGGTTTTGTCCCCACACAGGGTCTGGCAGCGTCTCCCCCCCCCCGCTTAACTCCGGCTCCCACCCCCCACCCCCGATTTTTCCCCTCCAGCCTCTCTCCTGCCGCTATCTACAGTAGCTTGATCCCCCCCGCCAGTAAATTTCTGCCCCCTGCTCAGATCCTGACACCCCCCCGCTGCGATTTGCCCCCCTTGATCCTTTTTAACCCCTCCAAAGAGGAGGCAGCAAATCGTAAGGAGAAGTAAGGGCAGAGAGAGGGTAGGGGCAACAGCGAAGGTTACTGGGCGTGTTCAGTTCGGGTGAGCCTGCTCGGGGCACCCGAAGTAGGGAATTGGGAGAGGGAGCTTTTTGTGTCGTTGCACCGGGCAGGAAAGTGACTCTGCACCAACGGCCCCTCTTCGCCCCAGCTCTGCTCCGGGGGGGCGGGGGTCTGCGAGTCCCGGAGCTGCTGCCCCCCACCCCCTGGCTCTGCCCCCCTGAGCGCCGGCAGGAGCCGAGCCAGCGCCGGGAGAGCGAACGGGCCGGGCCAGGGACCAAGTCTCCCAGCCCGAGGGGAGGGGAGGGGGAAGGAGAGAGACAGGGGCAGAGACTGGCAGGGGCAGCAGGAGCAATCAGTGGGGAGCGAGGTTCCCGGCTCCCTGCCCAGCCCCATTCCCTGCAGCACCCCGGGCAGATTGACTTTCCTGGAGAGAAGGGGAGGGGCAGGCAGAGGAAAAGCCAGTTCCTGCCTCTGTCTGGTCCCTGCGCTGCTGGGGGGATGCGCTGTCCTGGGGACCGCGTCAGGGGATCCCCCCACGCGGTTCGTTTGGTCCTGCTCTTTTCCAGCCCTTGGTTCACACACTCTGTTGCTGGGGGGTTAAAATGTGTCAGTGGGTTTAGTCATGGTGGGAGGGGCTGGGTCTGCTCTGCATTGCTCTGTAGAATTTTTAGATGCATCTAAATGATTGAGGAGCTGAAATCTCACTTTTCAAAACAGACTTTCAATGAGAGCCAAGCTTGTAATGTGCCTCTGGCGGTGTCTACCCACAGTAGCTGCACTGCTTTGTCTATCCCCTTAGAGTGACATAATCCCCCTGGCATTGACACAATGACATCCCCTAGCCCCCTCCTATCCATTCAGCATGCTGCTGCAAAGCTCATTCTCCTGGCGCTTTGCTTCGACTATGTCACCCCTCTCTTTGCTAGCCACCCCTTCTAGAATTATAGAATCATAGAAGATTAGGGTTGGAAGAAACCTCAGGAGATCATCTAGTCCAATCCCCTGCTCAAAGTAGGACCAACACCAGCTAAATCATCCCAGCCAAGGCTTTGTCAAGCCGGGCCTTAAAAACTTCTAAGGATGGATATTCCACCACCTCCCTAGGTAACCCATTCCAGTGCTTCACCACCCTCTTCTCTGTCACATCTAGCTGCTTGTCTTCCCTGTGGACATCTTTCATGGTCTATTCCTCTTCTTCCTGTCATCTTTCATTTGCTACTGGGATGCTGACCTGTATTTGGCAGGTAGGGATAGCTCAGTGGTTTGAACCTTGGCCTGTTAAATGCCAGGGTTGTGAGTTTAATCCTTGAGGGGACCATTTAGGGATCTGGGGCAAAAATTGGGGATTGGTCCTGCTTTAAGCATGGATTTGGACTAGATGATCTCCTGAGGTCCCTTCCAACCCTGATATTCTATTATTGTCTCCTTGTGCTCCCCCGTCTGTTGTGTCTTGTGTAATTATATTGTAAGCTTTTTGGGGCAGGGACTTTTTTTGTTCTGTTTGTACGGCACAAAGCACAAGGTTCTGGCCATGACTGGCAATTCTAAGTGCTATGGCAATACAAATACTGTAGTTATTACTATTATTATGATTTATTTATTTTTGACCATATAAAAGGGTTTATACTTGGACAGCTTATTCCCTTTAACTATATGAGTAGAAAATCATCCCCTACAAGCATGAGTAGCTCAATTGGTACAGAACCTCTGTGTAGATTAGGCCACTTTTGAAAACAGGATTTTGGTTTCTAAAACACTTCAGTGCTTTTGAAATTTTTATCCCTCCAGACCAATTCTTTTTCCTCGCATTGCATTGTCTGGAACTTCCATCTGAAGGGAAAGAACCAGCGGGAAATTTAAATGTGAAATGTGCCATATACCAGTGTCAGAGAGCAGGTCCAGATGACACTGCCATAAACATGCTGGTGTCTCCCTGGATCCTGTCTATACTGGTGCTGCTGGGGTTGCCAGCACTGTTAGCGTTAGGGATTTCCAAGAAATATCTAGTGCAGAGGAAGGTAAATGAGGCTGAGTTTAGAACCCTGGGTCAAAAATTCTTTATAACAAATACTTAGTGTGGATGGAACACACCTGAACTCAGCTGTTCTCTTTCTTCCAAGCAGGATTTCCCCATTTGGAAAGCTTACATGATGTTCATGATGGAAGGAGAGGAAAAGCTGTGGGTGCCTGACCTCCAGGTCTCTGTGGGAAGGGAGATCCTGAGAGGGGCCTGCAAAGGTGAGGAACTGGCTAAACTGATTTGAAAATCATCAGTGGATTAAGGAAGAAGCTGGGATTCCCACAAAGGCCCCGTGAGCTCCTCCCATTCTGCCTCATCTCACCCAGACAGGTGTCATATCCTCACAGTGGATATCACTTATCGCTTCCCACTCTCCATGACTGACCCCTGGCAGTAGCTCCCTCCCTCTGGGTGTTTAGGTGGGATGTGGAAAATGAATTGGTCCCCTCCTCTCTCTCCTCTGGGGAAGGGTTTGGGGGACTCAGCTCCTGATGTTTCAATCTCTCTAGCATTTATTTGTTCTTGTTCCTCCATTTCCCATTCCCCGTCTGAGGTTCCCTTCCCCCCCAGCACAGGGAGCGACTCCTGTCTGGATTCTGTCTTTGTCCCAGCAGGTGATGGGACTCTGAGTGAGAGCGAGGAGGAGACTCCCCAGCAGGAAGGTGCTGAGCCCAGGATGGTGTCAGGAAGAGTCGAAGGGGATGTTTCCCAGAGCCCCAAGCCTGTGAGAGTCAGTTCAGGGTATCTAGCCATGACAGAAGCCAGCCAGGGAAGGGAGGGAGTAAAACTACTCAGAGGGGAAGAGGAGTCAGGAAACTCAAAGAAATCATTCAGCAGAGAAACCTGAGAGAGGAGAGATCCATGACACGTGGGGAATGTGGGAAGAGTTTCTACTGGAGATCAGCCCTCATTGTGCACTAGAGAATCCATATGGGCGAGAGACCCTATAAATGTGAGAAGTGCAGGAAAAGCTTCAGTCTGAGCTCGATCCTTTTTGAGCACCAGAGAATCCACGTTGGAGAGAAGCTTTATAAATGCTCTGACTGTGGAAAAAACTTTAGAGCCAGGAGGTACCTTATTCAGCATCAGAGACTCCTCCTGGGAGAGAAACCATACAGGTGCTCTGAGTGTGGGAAGAGCTTCAGCCAGAGCTCAACTCTTATCAGGCACCAGCAAATCCACACAGGAGAGAGACCCTACAAATGCCATGACTGCAGGAAAAGCTTCAGTCAGAGCTCCAACCTCATCATGCATCAGAGATCCCACACGGGAGAGAGACCATACATATGCCCTGACTGCGGGAAAAGCTTTGGCCGGAGCTCAATCCTTATTCGACACCAGAGAACCCACATACACTAGAAATTCACAGTTTTCCTTTATTGGAGCCTAAAGCAGTGCAAATAAACTAGGAAATGCATTGTCTGGGGAGGGGTAAGGGAACTGACGTGCAGAGAGGCAGAGGAAGGTGCTGGTTACTGAGATTGTAGGAGTCAGAAAGGGGTGTGAGGATCCATGGCCCAGATCCTCAAAGGTACTTAAGCATTGCTCTGCTCAGTCTTGCAACACCTAATTCCTCAGCACCCTGCTGCCCAGTGGAATTCACTTCCCTCCCCGTACAATGCGTGGGTAGAGTTAGGTATCTAGGGAATAGATTCCTGAAGCCAGCAAACTGTGCGGGGAGCTGTCGAAGCTACCCAGGAGTGAAATGCCAAGCAGAGGGGTGGGGAGAGGAGAGGGGCTTAGCTGTCTAAGCAGTTGACCTGGTGCACAGGGCTCACAGGCCAGATAGGACGTGTTTACACTGCCGCTGGGAGTGTGCCTCAGCCCAGGTAGACAGATTTGCACTAGCGGGTCTTGACCTGCCACACTAGCAGTGTGAACATCACAGTTGGGCTGAAGCCGAGGATGTTGGTTGGGCTCAAGTGCCTGAGATGCAGCCCAAGCCACAATGTCCACACAATTTTTATCATGCTAGATCGTGGCTTGCTAATGTGAGTCTTGTTTTCAGCTGCAGTGTAGACATACTGTCAGAGAAAAACACCGTTCTCACTCTCAGGTTGGGTGCAGCAAGGCAGATACAGTTTATTATCTCAAGCAATTGCATGGAGGGAGAGAGTGCACTGGGACACAGGGTTTCCCCCACCTAGGCAGGTCTCTCCCAGATAAACAATTAGAGCGAGTATTTATACCTTTATTACAGACAGTAATAAGCAAGAACTGCATATTGTTTATACATATTCCTTCATGATATCTTGTTTTTCTTACCATTTCTCTTATAGTCTGCATTCTATTCTTATCTAATACAAGGTCACAACAGCCTCTTTCACAGTTGTTTTCTACTCGCTTCGCCCTATCTCCGCTTCTACAAATCTCACGTTATTAAAGCTAGAGTTAGCCTGACTCCTGCTCATTTCAGAGGCCTGCATCCAAATTCCCTTTATCTACTTCCACACTCCCCCCTTTTGTGCTTCCAGCACAACTATTAATTTTAAACTTCCATTTTCATTAAATTTTGTATTTCAAACTTTGCATCAGATACTTAGGGGTTTTAATTGGATACAATGACAATGCAAGGTTAGTATGGACATGGAAAGTATTATTATTATTACATCCTTTATAACAACAATAACATAACCCTAAACCCAATAACAACAGTACAAGCAATAACATGTCCACAATAATACTACAATGGGGTTGTTGCACAGTTTTAGTCACAAAACACAATACATCATACTTAGTACATAAGGTAGACACTCTATAAGCGGTATGAAAGGCATACTTTTCAACTTGACATATATTTTGAAGCATATGAAGTTGCCCTTGTAACTCAGAAATTTTCTGAATCTCTGGTAGGAGTGAAAGTAAATTTTGGAATCGATCAGGTATTAGGGTGGTCCAGTTAAAGGGTATCTGAAACATAAGGGCTGATTGAAAAATTCTATCCGCAGGCCTGCAGCAGTGGTGAGATTAAAATGAATATCTTGTAATATGGTGGCCTCAACATGCACACATCTATCATTAGCTTGGAAGAGTAGGTGTCCTGTCAGGGTAGTTCCTTGTCCCATACCCTCCCAACAAATGTTATCATGAACAGTGACAACTTCCTCTGGCTTCAGTTTAAGTACACACTGAAGCTGTGGGGTTCTAATGGCCAGAATGTCCATTGACTCCCTCTCCCTATCCAAATGTTGGGTGTTATTCTGGGAGCACTGACTTAAAATCTATTAGCCATACCAGGTAGTCTAAGTTCCCAAATGTCTCGGTGAATTACCCAGTCCACATGCATCCTCCCCACAGACCCAGCAGGATATGGGTCCACCTCCACCCAGAAAATCTCCAAGTGTGTCTCCATGGCCACAGATCAGATGATACTCCTGAAGTGTCTGTAAGGTCAGTCGGCCAGGCTTCATGCTCAAGATCACTCTGAATGGCCATCAGCTGGTCATTCAGGAAATCCTGGATTTCTGAGCAAGCCACATCCCACTGCAATGCCTTTCCAGCCTCAGTGATATTCAGTACCTCTGTTAACAGCTTCTGGGTCATCGAACTAAGGGCGGAGATAACGTGTAATTCACCCACTCCAGCCTGAACCTGGGTTAGTTGTGCTCCAGTTATAAGGCCAGTGGCTTTTTCCAATTGTCCTAATTTCTCTTCATGTTCTTGGTTTCTATAAATATTCCAAATTGCTGCTGCACTATTGGCTCCATCCCATAGGGATCCAGCTAAGTCCCTTTTCTTTCTAGAGGAAACCCAGGCCCTTTGTTGTGTTAACCTAATGGCAGCCCCTTTTGAGCAATTTGGATATGTAGAGGTAATCAGAAACTGGACAAGGGCAGTGTGAATTTTATAGTCCCTAGTGTAGCATTAATCACAGTCCATTGATATCCTACTACATCTCTTTCTGGTACAGTACTATACCACATCTGTTGGCTAAACACTTTCATATACTTCTGAGAGGCATTAGCATCAATGGCATAAGAGGGGGTATATTGCAATATGGTACAGGTTAAATTATTAGTTACTGGAATAATTTCAGTACAGGTAAAATTTCCAGTGACAGAACAAACTCTTTGGGTATATGTTTGGTTATTCACTAATTGGGTGACCAAATAACAATGAGGGCCTCTTTCGTTTAACATTTTACCGACTCCAGGAATGACCACCATATCTACTTCGCTATAGAACCCACTAATCTCAATTTCTGATTCTCGGGGTTCATCTGTAGTGATATCATATATTTCTATTTCCACTGATCCATTTGTTTTCCATTCAATTGTTCTCTCATATGAACTATTCTGAACCTTAAAAAAATAAATTTTCTGAACAACATTTCAATAAATCACTTAGATGTGAAGGTCTTGGCCAATAGGTTTCGTTAGAATATACAGTATCATTTGTATTTGGGTAACTTACAGGAGTGGTGGCAAAGGTGGAGGGGATGGTGGGAGTAATGTTCATGGCAGTAAGGCGTTTTTGGTATTCAACACCCGGAAGCCAATTAGGGAGGGCAGTGCATTCTGATGGTACTTGCCCATAATCACAGATTCCAGCCCCTGGAATAAACCCACCCCACCACTTCACTCCACATTCCCAAGAATACATCCCACAACTCCCTCCCTGCCAATGTACAATGCTCCGTCTTCGCCACCAAGGCCAATTTTCAATGTCTTTTGTAGTCAGGGATCCTTGGATCTTGGTGGTTTCAGCAGAGCGGGCGTTCCTTCTTCTCTCTTGGAACAGTCATGGTTTTGCATTATACAGAGGAGATGCTACTAGCACGTCACCCTGTAGTGCTTTGGTTTCTTTAGCAAATGCTGAATGCAGGTTAGCTCTGTCAGTGGACAAGGGAGAGGTTACTAGCACTTCACCTTGTCCTTTCCCCTGCTGTCCAAAAGGAGGAAAGAAAAAACAGAAGGAGGGACAGGCTGATAAGTAGTCAAAGTGAAGTCATAGAATCATAGAATCATAGAATATCAGGGTTGGAAGGGACCTCAGGAGGTCATCTAGTCCAACCCCCTGCTCAAAGCAGGACCATCTCGAGGCGGAGGGGTCTTTTTGCAGTAAGAAGCATGGGTCCAGGCAGTCAGTCCTTGGCACTTCACAGCTGTGTTGGTAGTTAGCAGGACATAATAAGGGCCTTTCCAGCGTGGAGCCAGGGCAGTCTTTTGCTGATGGACCTTTATGTAGACTGGGTTCTAGCGAGTGGCAGGGTTGTTCAGGATCCTTGGGTAGTGCTTCTTTCACCTCTGTATAAACAGACTTAACATATTTCATTAGTGCCTGACAGTGTTTTGCAGATCTCATGGCTGTTTGGGCACATTCAAGCCTCCTTCTCTTTCTTCGCTGTCAGCCAAGTCTTAGCTGTGAGCAGTGTCCTTTGGCGGGCCAGCGTCTTGTCTTTGGACCGAGCCTGCCAGCTACAGCATTGAGTTAACTCGTCCTCAGTTCTTTTTCCCCCTTCTTTTTGGCTTCTTTTAACCTACAAAGGAAACTTTCACTTTCCACTCACACACCTTTGTTCAAAAATGAACACATATACCTTGTCCATTATACAGCACTTTAGTCTTATTGTTCAATGTATGCCACATACACCCTTCTAGTAAAATGACTTTATTACAGAGCTTTGGAGCAACAAGCCAGGACAAGCACACCCACTTTTGAGGAGTCCTCTTGGTACAACCTCTGATGTCCAATAGCTTTCCTCCCTCCCCAGCCCACTGGCTAGAAATTTGAGGTAGCCAGAAGGATCCCATGTGCAATATGGGGAGTGGGTTAACCTTTCATGTCCTTGCTTCCAAAGACTGTTGGTGTGCAAATTTTAACAACAATTTTTTCAATTAAAAGATCTGGCCAATGACATTTCTTTTTCTTACTTAAGCAAATTTATTAAACTTTAGTATATCACATTTTCCTGATATTATCCAAACACTTTGTATTCCAAGTTGAATAAATCAAGTATCTGCATTTTGATTTAACCCTTCTATTTAGTGTTAAACTAAACTGTCCTATGAAAAAATAAACACAGCAATTCTGGCCACAAGACAAACACCACAAGACAGGACATAGAACACAGAACATAATTCCTATTGTGCCAATAAATTCATGATATGTTGAATTGTTTTTCAGCTGGCATCAGTTTTCTCTGATTTTCTGGAAGACAAAAAGAACATAGATCTACCCCTTCTGGGCAGTCAGTCATTGCTTAAAATATTTCCTTTTTATACAAATACCCTTGTTAATTGCAGGCAAAACAGAGGAATTACCCATATTTTCTTGTATTTGTTTCATAGGCAGCCCAGGTTTCAGTAGCTTCTACCTTATCAGTTAGGTAATTTACATTAAAACAGATGCTTTCTGGC